CATATATTCCAAGTTGCAGTTTTCAACTGCCTTGATCATTTGACCTCATGAGTATGTGTTTCTTTTTATTTTAGGCTATAAAATGGAGATGACAATACCTTCCCTGACTACCTCAAAAGATTGCTGTAAGGATATGTGGGGAGGTGATAATACACATGCAATTGAATCCTATATTGCAAAACACTGTCCAATTGTTAATTACCACTGCCTCCTCCATCACGAGCAGGGCCATGGTGCAGTGAGTGCCCTGAGGCCTCTGACCAGGTAGGTGTATTTCTCACGCCACTGCTAGTTATCAGGGATGGGCCTCTCCCTCATCTACCAACTTCCTCTCAGATAGCTGCTTCTTCATCTTCCTGGCTCCTGCTGGCAACCTGTGTCTCTGGACAGACCTTTATTCTGTCTCCCCTGAGGTCCTCTGGGAGCCCACAGGGCTTAGAAAGCATCTCCTACTCTAGGTCCTCCTCCAGTTCCTCTCAAGAATCCCACCTGCAGTTCCCCTGAGGAAGTGCTCTCTATCAGGCAGCAAGGGGTTTATCGAGTCTGATAAACATCACATCCTTGTAATACTTTCAGTAACTGGACTGATGATTCATTCTTATGAAAGTGAACGTCCCCAGAAACTGTTCTAAACTGCAACTTTCAAGCAGGCAGGTGAGCCTTTGGCGGCCTCCAAACATTACCATATTTAGGTGTCCAGGGTAAGAGCAAGAGATTCCTTAGAGCTGATGTTTGTGTAGAAAACTGCATTTTCAAGGGCTGAAGAACTACATACACCATAATCTTCGAATGCTGAACTCAAAGCCACAGAGCTGGGCAGCTGGTCCCTGCACTTCACCCTTTGAGTTAAGAGACTGGAATTTCAAAATGTCTGCTTTGCTGTCTGCTCTAGAGCTGGTTACCTCAATAAACCCATCCCCCCCACCCCGCCAAAGTGAATAGATAATGTATAGAATAGTTTCTTTGAAAATATTATGAGTAGTAGTCTCCAGGCACTAAATAAATTAAAACTGTTACTTTGAAGTAAATAGAATTATAACAAAAATGATCAACAATGAAAAAAAAGTGGAAGCAAAGCGAGATGATTCAGAGATCCGACTCAACTGCTCCTCCTAGCGCAGTAACTCTAGTAACTCCTACCTTCCTCTCACATTTCTAAGCTGGCAGAGAAATGCTAAGCTCTAACTAGCTTTGCAATCTTTTATTATGTTAGAAAATTTTAGATCAACTTAGAATGGAGGGAGGGTAGAAACAGGGTCTTTCAGTTTCTCAAGAAGGCACTGACTTAACTCTTAATGGGAAACATCAGATACGGTGACAAGAAAAACACACAGAGCACCACTCCCACAAATACACAGAGAAGTGAGGATTTTAAATACACTGTTTTATGCATATGTTGACACAAAAGATGTCCAGCAGGTCATCTTTAAAATACGTTTTGGAAGTTAAACATCGAATCAGATCAAATATTCAAGGAAAGTCAAGAACACAAAGTCAGGAAATGTTGTATTTCTTCTAAATTAGGGATTGTGACTCTGTGGGTAAATTCCAATAGAGCACGTAAATGTTTTCTTCTCTGTATTTGCATTCCCAGAAAGGTAGCTTCATCACAAAGTCTGCGTATTTGCTGTACGCTGAAAATTATCAATTTTTATGAGTTCTTAAGAGAAATGCAGCTGCACTGAACTCACAGCAGGATTACAGCAGAACTAGGCAGAGCGTGGGGGCGGCAGGCAGGAAGGGTTAACCTGCACCTAATAAAGTCTCTGGTCGCCCTTCCCTTCCCCACCACTAGCTACATCTTCCAGATCTGCCTTCTGTGACTTAGTGGTTTATCTTCAGTTCTCTTTCTGATACTTGCAAACCTCCCAAATTTTTCAGCTGTTAAAAAGTTCCAAAACAAGCAAATGTGTTCCTGGAATCTTACCCTTCATTTTGCTGGAGAGCATATACTAAGGCTTCTCTTCCAGCCAAAATAATAAAAGATCTTTTAAGTGGCTGAAATTCTTGGTTGATTGCACATACATGCCAATGTCAGACAACTATAAATAGAGAGATTTGGAAGAGAAATAGGGAAAGGCTTTATAAATCCAAAGAAATAAAATGGGATGTCTTGAAGGCAGTCAGAAAACAATACGTGTTTTTGTGAAACTAAGACCTGTCTCCCTTTAGTACAAATGTAGGATGAGCTCACAAGGATCACGTACTTCCAGTATGGGGGAATAAAGGAACTTTTTTCTTTATTAATCTATATTTGCTATTTTCAATCCTATAATTAAGATTTCTTCTTCCTGTTATCTTTTTGAGTTTGGATATCTGTTGGATCTTTTGATATTTTCTCCCAGTCACTGCTTTGTTTTCTCAGAACGCTAAAAAATCTTTCAAAGGATACAGTTGTGCCCGTGATACTGATAGAAATGAAGTCAACAGGGAATTGCATGGGTGTTACTGAGGCAGACTTGGCCCCCAAATAAACTTGGTCACTTATTGTAGCCATAGAAAGAGACACAGAATTCATTTATTAACAAATTCCTACTGTCCTAGGCAGGTTAACACATCAATGAGCAGCAAACGCTGATTAATACAGCTTTTAAACCATTGTTGCTTACTTTTGAGCAGTGAGTTACTTTTTTGTATTAACCCACTCATATTAGCTTATCTAAATTGAATGTAAATTAATTCTTACTAATTACTTCACTTTATTTTAAACCTATTTGAGGTTTATTTTGAGGTATTATTAAACCTATTTGAGGTATATTGAGAAAATTTACCAATGGTTGCAAAGTAATAATTGGGCCATAGACAAGCCAAATTAGTTAGCAGCGATGGAGAAAACTAGCACTTGTTTAATAGGCTTTTAGTGTAGTTCTTTTGAATCTCAACCTCACTCCTAAAGAAAGAGATGCTGGAATGTTGATGACGGTTGCAAGGTCCATTTGGAGGAAGAATCAATAACATAATTAATGTCTCTGAGTTTTGGTTCTCTCTAAATTACATTGGGTTTGAACTGGCTAGAGGCTATGGCTTGGCTCTAAAGATTCAGCACTTTACACTGGAATACCGGAAAGCAACATTTTAATAACATTTTTAGTAATGATTTTATTACTTAGTGTTTCTGAAATAAACCCTTAAGGGACAAAAAAAAAAAAAAAAAAAAAAAAAAGACTTATGAGAACTTAAAAACAGCATGGTTCTAAAAAGGCCATGTTCATAATTTTAAAATCTTACCTCAAGCTCAGCTTTTAATATTTTCCTTAAATGATCGAAAAAGTAATCAAAGGGTGGGACTCAGTTTATTAAATGACTTTGAATTAATTCTAAGAAGAAATTCTGTATTTCTAATTATCGCTACCCACAAATGCTGGCATGCTATGTATGATCTGTCACATTTCTCTGCTACTTCAAATATAGGCTTAGAGATACCATGGCTTTATCAAGAATTGATTCATAAAGTCATTGTCTAGTTGGACAGAACTTTGAGAGAAGAATATATAATTAAGGTAGGAACTGTACACTGTAGAATGTCACCTGGAGTATAAAGCACTTAATTTAAATATGTTAGATCAGTGATCAGAAAAGGGTAGCTAAGAGCAAACCCAGGATGTTCCCGACCAGCAGAGGGCGTGCCTCCCAGGGGAGGTGGTGGAGATTCAGAATCTGTTCTCCCAATGGCAAATGCAAAGCCCTACCTTAGGCAAAATGACTACAACAATGTGTGTGTTCTTTTAACTACAAATTTAATAAAAATAAATTGCTAAATTCTTCAAACAAATACTGCAGAATTTAATGTATTCATTGCACCAGTTCCTCACAATCAGCTTTTGTCCACTGTATCTATTGACATTAATTAAAAAGCATGTTTAATATGAAAAAGCTTTTTCTTATTTTTCATCTTCATAACTGACCGTGTCCAAAATTAAACATGTCATAACTGTAAAAAGTGAGACTAAAACACTGACTTCCCAATGGACAAAATTTTACTGTGACGCATTATAGTTTATTTAATCAAAGCTGTGCCAGTCTCCCTAGCACGATGCTTGAAATGGTAGTGACTCAATTACTCTGTTTTCCAACTTCCAGTGATTTATTAATAGGTTGGCTTGCAATAAAAGGCTTCCAAGTAGTTTATGAAGCCAAGATCTTCAGGTTTTGTGAAATTTTGAAACCAATAAATAAAACTATTTCAACAAGGTCGGCGAACATAAATGAAATAAGATGAGTACATATACTTCAAATAACAAATATATTTAAGCTTTCTTGGGTGGTGCCTGTGGCTCAGTGGGTAGGGCACCGGCCCCATACACTGAGAGAGGTGGGTTCAAACCTAGCCCTGGCTGAACTGCAACAAAAAGAAAAAAAAATAGCTGGGTGCTGTGGTGGGCACCTATAGTCCCAACTACGTGGGAGGCTGAGGCAAGAGAATCGCCTAAGCCCAGGAGTTGGGAGGTTGCTGTGAGCTGTGTGATGCCATGGCACTCTGCCGAGGGTGATAGAATGAGACTCTGTCTCTTAATAAGAAATAAATAACTAAACTAAACTAAACTAAATAAATAAATGTACTTAAGCTTTCCAAAACAGCTTAGGGGGAAAGACAGGCAAACAAAAATTCAAACGATCGATTTTATCTAGCTCAAAAATTATCACTAATGTCATTTAGATTATGAAGTCAGTCCCTATACTGTATTTTATTAATCTGTTTGGCTGATCCTGAAATATTTCTTGGAATTTAGTTATAAGAAGGTTGCCCACAAGGAATGTTAGGATTTCCAATTCTGAAGCAGTGGCACCTTGGTCTAGGAACCCAAACTCATATACTTGTTGGCTCAGGCTGAACACAGTAGCTGATACACTGTGAGGGTTTAAGAGCACTGTCATGGACAAATGAATAAATACATAGCAAGAAAAATGAGTGAAAAACATACTATGATAAGCTTAGCAGGAGAGGTGTAAATATTAAAAGAGAGAGAAAGAGAACAAGCACAATCTGTATAAAGACTTACTTATTCCACGCTTGTCTAAGGTTCTTAGAGCTGTACAGGGTAAAGCGTTCTGAAACAAAAAAGAAAAATGATAAACGACCTTTATATCGAATACACATATTGCAAGCATGTTGAAGAAAATAACTTTTAAAAAAGACAGGATTCTAGTTAGTCATCGTAAAGCTAGCCACAGGAAGTGTGCTTAAGGTTAAATTTTTATTTAGTAAAGTAAATTTTTCTCATTAGATTGGGCAGTTATGAAGAGCATGACAGGAGATCACAACATTTCAAACAATGAAGCATTGTCTTCTTTTCTCTCGGATTATTTATTTTGTGATCAGGTTTCCTGGCAATTATTTCTTAGAATATCTAAGTTTTAACTGAGTTAAAAAAAAAAAGAACGCAAATTCCAAACCTCCGAACTGTTAAGTAGATTTACAGAAGAATACTGACACATCTGCCAAGTGAGAGTTTTTTCCAGGAAGGTTTCTCGGACAAATACAGTTGGGCCCCCTTTCTTACACTGTAGGGTATTTATACACGCTCAAAGCCAAACTACCAATGTCTTATAATGTATTTAATTGATATTTATCATGGAAGAATCTTTATTAGATATTTTAAAAGATGAACATGATTGTTTTACCAAACTAAACAATAAAGCGATAATAGAACAGACATTAGCAATCCCCTCTCCCGCTGCTCTCCCTTTTTCACTCCTGATTATTTAGTCATTGTTAAAGCCTTGGTATGTGACTTTCCATGTATTTCTTTATGTTTACAAAACACACCCATCCATACAAGCATATACTATTTTAATTTGTTAAATGGATTAACAATAAACATTACTCTAAAACTTTCTTTGGCACTTAATGCATGGTGGATAGTTCTTCAAATCAAAAAAATTTATGTAACAATTGCTTTAAAACAGTAAACATTCCATAGAAGAGAAGTTCCATAATTTATTTGACGTTGTCCCACTGATGAACCATTTGGTATTTCCAATTCCTTTTCCTTTACAAACAAGGCCGCAGTAAATATCCTTGTATGTCTAGACATCTCTGTATACTAAAGCTTTCACTTTCGTTGCATAGATTCCCCAATACAGAACTGCTTGGCAAATGGTACGCACATTTCACATTTTAACAGATGCTGACAGGCGATGACGAGAGTGTCTCTTTTTCCATATGCCTTCCAGCACTGGTTGTTATCAGGGTCTTACAATTTTGCCAAACCGATGCTGGATAAGACATTCTTGGGCTTCTTTTCATATGTTTCCTGGCTATCTGTATTTCCTTTTCTGTTTCAAATTTCAGTTTTAATATTGATGTGTGGGTTTTTATCAGTTGATAGAAGTTTTGGGTATATGATCAACTTGTCTTATATAAATGTAAAAGTAAAATTTCACTTTATTTGTGAAGTATTTTTCCATGGAGAAATTTAAATTTTTATTTACTAAAGTAAGTGTTTCTCTTTCTTTTGGCTTATTTGTCTTGCTTAAAGAAAAAGACCTTGACTTTGAGTTTATACAAACAATGATATTCATTTTTCTCCTAATGTTTTTACTATTTCTTACCTCTTGGTTTTAATATCTTGAATTTATTCAATATGATATGATTTACAGTTCTCATTTTCTTTGTTTGAGGAGGACAGATAATTATGCCAGGACTATATATCAATCATTCTTTCTCCAATAATTTGAAATGATACCTTTATATCTTACATTATTAATCAGTTCTCGAACATACCAGAGCCTGGACTTTTTTCTTTTATACTCATCTATTCATGCCAGTATCATTATTATTTTATTAGAGTGCTTCTTATCTTTCAGAAAGTGTATTTTCTAGCTAGTATTCTTTTTTTCTTTTGGAAGAATTGTTGGTGTGAGTTATGAACATTTATTTGTTAATTCCACACAGTTATTGTGTAGCCATAAGTGCTAAATATTGTTCTCATGCCGAGAATAGAGACATGAACAAAACGGAATAAGTTCCTTCCTTCATGGAGCTTATATTCTAGAACATGTGAGATAGATAAGAAAAGCAAAAACCACCGTCACCACCACCAGCAACATAATAAACAAGGTAATTTTGAAAAACGTTCTAGGAAAACAAAACCAGGCGATTTGATGTAGAGTGACCACCAAGAGAAGAGACTTTTGATTGGGCGATGAGGGCAGGCCAGTTTAAAACAAGATAGTCAACCAACAAGATAAATGAAGTTTCCATTAGGTATCTTGTTGGAATTCCATTAAAATATATATATATATCTTAAAAGGATGATATAAAATCTTTGTACATAAGAATATGGTGTGTTTTTCCATTTAGACAATGTTCAAGTTTAAGTCCTCAGTAACATTATTTTTTCCTTTTTTTAGGGCTGGGCATAATGGCTCATGCCTATAATCTCAGAGCTTCCAGAGGCCAAGGCAGGAGGATAACTTGAGGCCAGAAGTTGGATATCAGCCTGGGCCACATAGCAAGACCCTGTTGGGTATGGTGATGTGTGCCTGCTAGTTCTACCTATTCAGAAGGAGGAGGCAGAGGATTGCTTGAGCCCAGGAATTCAAGGTTACAGTGAAGTATGATGGCACCACTGTGCTATAGTCTGTGCAACAGAATGAGACCCCATTTCTAAAAGAAAATTATTTTATATTGACCTCATTTCTTTTTAATATGTATCAAGCCTAGTTTTGCTTAATATTGCTTTGCCTCCTTTGTCAATATCGTCTGCTTGTCAAAATGACTTACGCTGCCTTTGTTACGATACATTTCATGTATAAAGAAGCCACTGATTATGAAGAACAAAAAGAAGGTAAAACATACACCCAGCTTCCTGTTTCAAAACCAGAGTTTACTCAAGAGCAATGACTAAAACCACTGTAAAATGATTCATTCATTCATTCAACTTCTACTTACTGAAGACCTACTGAAGATACAGGAGGGAATCAAACCAAAAATCTTCCTGCGTGCAGGGAGCTAGAATTCCAGTGAGGGATGAGCAGAGGTAGAGTTGGCTGGAGGCCAGAACAGCCAGAGTAGACCAAGAACTCAGGAGAGAATGGAGGTTGAGACAGAGGTGGGGGAAAGGCAGATACACGACCTAGTATGATTTGGCTTTAAAAAATCTATATCTATATCTATATCTATATCTATCTCACTCTGACTTCTGTTTGGAGAACGTGCTATAGGAGGCAAGGCTGGAAACAGGAAGACCAGTGGAAAAGGCTGGAAAAGTTACTACGATGGCCCAGATGACAGACTATAGGACTTGGGATATGGGAACAAAGTAAATGCAGTGGGAAGGGGGTCAGAGTCTGAACAGATTTTGAAGGTAGAGCCAATGAGATCTACTGGTGAACTGGATATGGGGGGCGACAGAAGGGAGGGGTCCAGAACGATTAATGGAGCACAGTCACTGATCTCCAATTCCCAGGTTTCAAAGACACGGAATTTCATATACATCTCAAATACTACTCAGAATAAATTAATCTTCCTGTGACGATTGAGAAGGTATTTAAGTGCTGTTCTCCTGGAGTTTCAGAGTTATCATTCAAGCAGGGGTAATGGACAAATATCGAATAACCTTTGAGGTACAGGCATTGACCGGTCAGAACAGAAACTAGCCATTATGCTGCAGTCGTGTGTGCTAGCTAAGGGCAACCCCGACTACAGATGTCCGTGGTTCTAAAGATGGAGACAAAAGTGCTCACCAACAATTATGTATCAGTTTCAAAAGAACGTCTACTTTCTGAGTTTATCCTGGACTTGGCTGCATCATGTAAAATGTGACGTAATTCAGCCGGTTAGTGTAGGAAATAATTTTAAAGGCATATATTCTAGGTCTGAGGATTGACAAGGCAAGGAGAAAGAGGAAGAATAGTTCTTTGTATAAAATCCAAAACACATATATTATCTAAAGCCTGGTATTAAATATTTTAAAAAGTAATTAAAGCAAATGTCCTTATAAAGCAAATTTGATTTCCTTAACTTGGTACTCCTGACAAAGCAATTTTAATAATTTGCTAAGATTTCAGGATGAACAGGAATTCCATTACAGATAAAATTAATACAATCTTGCATACAAATAAATTATTATTCTTAGCAATTAACAACTGCACATAAATATTAATTCTAAGAATTAATTCTCCTTAGAACTTGATAGAATATGCTAATTGAAATTTTTTTTCCAAAAATACGGTATGTCAATTTTAGCTGTGCATAAAGGAGGCAAAACTGATACTGAAATAAGCCACGTGAGGGTAAAACAATAAGGAAAAAGGAAGCCTCATCCTCAGGTTTACGTTCCATCATTACTCACATAAAATCTTAATTCTTTAAGCAAATATTACCTGGGCGCCTGCCTCTGGGCCAGGTGCTACACTAGGCAACGGGCACACAAAAATGAGTAAAGTCCTGGTGATAATTCAGTGGCACAGAAGTGTAAATACAGATTTGCAGATACAGGGTGAAAAATGCTACAACGTGAATAGGGACACAGTCCTGGGGACTAGCCAGAGCCAAGTCTGCATCTGTCTCTTTTCCAAATACAGACAGGATAAACAACCATCTGAAGCTAGCTGCAGGAACACAGGGCCTGATCACTCACATCCAACATCGTCACGATCTTAACCGCTCCAGAGCATGATTTCCAATGGAGCCATTCCTAATATTTTCCGCCATAAGCATTACAGTTACAATCAGAGTAAGAGATTATATTTTAGAATCTACCTCCATTGTGAATAAAAAGAACGTCCCATTAGAATGAATGCAACATAATTAGCCACGTTAAGTTTTGAAAACAAAAAGGTGCTGGAATGAGTGCTCCAATCAGTAGGAAACGTGTTTAATACTCACCTGCCTATGAGTAACTGGATCAGGGGTCCAAGTACACAGCATTTGCATGTGAGTATTTTTCACTTTTCTCCTTCAGTTACGTTTACTCTCTCACTACTTTAATGTCAACTTTCCCTTTCCAATTATGTTTAAACTAGAAGTTTAGAATGTCATTATTTAAAGCAGTGGCTAACTCCTAGCATAACTGAGAAGTGCAATTAATTTGAACCTGCAGGCT